GATTTTGTGCTTACCCGGACCTATCTACTATGGTGAATCCGAAAATCCACAGTGAAGGGCGCGAAAACGACGAAAAAAGCTCTAGCACAAGAGGGAAAACGTAGGTGAGCGGGGTCTTCCCTACTGTGGAATCATGCTCCTTCCGAAGCGATCTTCTTAGTTCCGATTTCAAGTCACGCGTTTGCACTTGGCCGGTAGCGATGTCAGAGGCTAACAGAATGGAGAAGATCGTTGCGGAAGCTGGAAGTGTGGTTTCACAATGGGGAAGACCTTTGGATTCTGCATAGCAGATTGGCCCGGGTAAGCAGAGAATCTTGAAATCGGAATTTTGCCCGGACATTGCCTTTAAAGGCGGCGTACACCCAAAATTTCGCCTTCGATGTTTTTGTCATTCTGGGGCCTTTCCGTGCCCCTGATTACAGTTATGACATTAAAATCCTCCAAAATCCCAAAAACCCCGATTCCGGGGGACCCTTTTATCAAACGGAGAACGAGTTTCGAACATTGGGAGCAACATTGGGAGACCGGACCAACGCAGTTGGTCCTCTTCTGGGCTCTAGATATACACGGCTCGACCCCGTCGGCATGCCAGCGAGGAGTAGCTGCAAGAGCAACTGCAACGGCAACTGCAGCTTACGCTTGGATTTCGTCCGAAGGGGCGTGAAAGAAAAGGGCGGAATGAAAGAAAAATCAGGCGGATTTTCTCCGCTCAGAAGCAACACTGGGAGACCGGACCAACGCAGTTGGTCCTCTTCTAGGCTCTAGATATACACGGTACAGAGAACTGGATAACTTAGATTTTGGGTATACGCTGCCTTTAACGCATTTACGACAATGCGACCACCGTTGGGTTGTACGCGTTTCATTTCAGACACCACCGTGGGTCGTATACATTCTTGACAGCTGTCTCTTGCGGGTTTACATGGAAATCTTTGGGTTTTGGCTTTTAGGGTTTTTTTGTTTAAAGTTTCCAAGTAGAGCTTCAAAAATCACCACGGACCATAGGACCCACTGATGATTCCTAAATTTAAGTTTGCAATAATACGCTCTGAATGGCAGAAACTGAAAAAATGGTGTGTCGTGTATGTGTTGAAGAGTAGTGCAAAAGAGACTGAAGGCACCGTCCAACCAGAATGAGGGTGATGAATGGTTAAAAGTGCACTTCATTAGCGTTTTAATGCATAATGTGCAACGAAATCCAGCTTGAGAGTGCATAAATGGCATGGTGGTGGGTATGATTAGAGGAAATACGTCCAACATACATCAACCAGAAACACAAATCAATGCTTTTGAACAACTAATTATTGAGGCGGTGCCACTAGTGTTTGTCATAATACTTTTAAATGCTCATAAGTTCTCCCGAAGAATTCCGCAGCAGATAGGGAAGGTAGATTTGGAATCATCAAGACGCGTGTGACATGCATTTCGATTGCCACTGCGATTTCGGATCCTTTCTTAGTGAGTTATTTTATATAGCTCATACCTAAGGTTGGGCTCAAAAGACATTGCCTAATTTCGCAATTTGTATGTACGATTTCCTTGCATCAAACTACTCATCATCTTGTCTGCAAAGACCTTCAAAAATATGAAAGGCATTTGGACTCAGCGTTCAATTATTCATCCGATAGTTTGCGGTTTGTTTTAATCCTACACTTCGACTTCTGACCATTTCTTGTGAGCAATCCGCTAAGTCCCGCCGCAAAAGACGAATTTCGCAGCTAGAAAATTGCTTCAGAACGCAGAAGTCTTCGCCCATCAACGTGGGTGCTTGAAGTTGAGAATTCAGATCAGGCTCCTATGTATCCAGAATTGTCATAACTTTGCCCTTCAATTTCATCGGATCTTCGTTCCATCTCCCTCTCCCATTTTTGGACTTGTTATCCTCGCACCGTCCACAAGTAGGCAGGTCCACTTTGCCCCTTCTAATTTTTGGAGTGGTTTTCTCGCTTCGTAATTCATCTTTTGCAGCGGGATTTGGGCTATTGCTCAGTTACGGCCCCTCTATCATATAGCATCAAAAACTCTTTACCTTCATTTTGGGTGGATGGTGCTTTTAGGTCGTATAAAGACGACGCGCGTCGCCCCTCAAACTTGATCCCAAACATTCAATGAGCAAGCAGTGCACAAAATCTGTATCTTGGAGTGGCTTTCCTTTTTTAATTCCTTCTACATCAATGCATAGACTTGGTAACTGCATTTGGTCTAGATCTCGGCACGGGTGGCACCAGACAAGTTGAACATCGTAGGAGTAAAAACATGAGGAGTTGTACAGGCCCGCGGACTACTACGAATATGCGTTGGTTTGCTCAGCATTGTGAAAAAATATCAAAAATATATTTGAAGGTTCAAAAACTTATGTGACCAAAGGGCTTATAAGGCTTCCATTCTGGAATCTCGCCATTGAATGATGAAGGAACTAAGGAACGTTTGCAAACATGTAGCGAAAATACACCAGATTTATTGTGTATATATACGACGAAAAGAGTGGACGAAGTACTAGATAATTTGAAAACTTGGTGAATCAGAGGCGTGGCAAACTTCTTCCAAATTCGGTGGGACCTGCTGCTTAAGGAGCACCTGAGGCCGCGAAAAAGGTCGTCTTTTTGCATTTTATCACATTACATCCCGGGGCGGCGCCGCGTTATGGAGCAAAGCTACGCCGCATTTGCTTGTGGTATATCCTAGAGACCCTTTGCCTTGCGTCGCTCCTAATTGCAGTCGCAGAGGAGCTAGCGCTACTGAGCGGATTGAGCCATTCTCCTCATCCTTTGCGGATAAGGAGATCAAAATGTGAATGATAAACGCATTTCAAGGGCGAATCAAATATACAATATGAGGAAGAAGTGTCTGCAGAGCAAGCCAAGAGAAAGTAGAAGATGAGTTAATTTCTCTTGGAAAGTCATTAACGAAGAATTCTATCCTTCTTCTCCACTAATTCTCTTGTTCCACTTCTCTTGAACACTATTAACTCGAATCCAGCATCGGATTATCTCATTATCAGCCTTTCTCATCCCTAGAATTCATCTATTTTTTAGATTTTCTAATTTGCAGTCTTCTTTGTTCTTTATTGCATTTATACAGTTTGAACATATCAGGTCGCAGTAATAGGGAATGGCTCTATCCGCTGGCAGGACCAGCGCTACTCCTGCGGCTGTAATTAAAGGCAGTGTCTCACCAAAATTTAGTTGTCGAGATTTTTGCATTTTGCAAGCCTGTCGGACCTTGTCTAGCACTGTATGGGCTCAAAATTACATGAAGTTCCCAAAAACCCTGTTTTCTGGAGGCCCCGCGGAAGCAACGTGGACGAGTTGTACCTTGCAACTTCAGCCTTAGCCACAGTGGCAGCAACACAGGGGAGGTGGATGCCTAGTGGAGGGACATATTCAAACGCGTAAGGAGGGAGACTGAAGGAGTCGTCCGCGCGTACCACTTTGAGCGAATTTTTCTCAACGTGAAGGGAGTCAAATTGAGTGGTACTTGTTGCAATAGCCTATTTAGAGGTCCCTATAATAGAATATGTGAAAATTCGCGCGACCTCAACTTTGGTGAGACAATGCCTTCAAAGGCGACGCAACGCAAATGGCCCTCGGGATATACCGTAGGAGAATGCGGCGTGGCTTTGCTCCATAACGCCTGCCCCCCACATCCCTGACATTCTTTACAACTAATGCCCACATCCTGTGATCTACAGAGGGTTTGGAAAGTACCTGGCTTAAAGCCTTCCAATCCAAATTTCGACGCACTTTTTATTTTATTGTGCTCAACAAACCCAGAAACCATCATCTCAGCAAATATTAGGTTTCTTTGTGATTGGTTGTTTACTAGGTTGAAACTCAATCGTTATAAATTATAAGTTATCACACTCTTTCCTTGCAATGCTTGTCACAAAGGAGAAAACGTAGTTCACAAAAAACTTTGTACACCACCTGAAGGCCATTTTTTTCTAGTTTCTTGAGTGTGCTTTTATCGTAGGAAAAAGTTCGCTTCGAAACCGTTCCTTGAAAACAAGAAATCCACTTTCAAAATTTTACCGTCAAAAAAGTAAAAAAAAATCCAGCTCCAAAACTTTTTCTATGTATCTTCAAAATTTTGACAAGCGCGCAAAATTTTTTCAACGCAAATTTGTGCAATTCCCTGCTGTAATTTAGCCACATGAAAAATTTTTTGTTCGCAGTTTACTCAGCTTTAGTCATATAACGAAAGTGTAGACACGGGGCTTTTTGTGATAAGAATATGGAAAGCGTTTCCTTCTTTTGGTGTTGAAAAAAAAGGGAACAAATCGACGCACTGCTCCGCGTCTTCAAGGTAGCTGAGAGAAAAATTGGTCACCTTTATTTTTCAAAGTGTCTCGGAGCAAAAAGTATTTTCTTTGTTGATTTTAAGTGGTCTTTAGGTTTAGAGAACATATAGCAAAAATCGAGTCAGACTTCGCAATTGAGGAGGTACTTGAGGCCAGAAACTTTCCAGACACCATGCATATAATACTTGTAATGCCTCTCTATCTTCTATGAATGATGGTCCAGCCCTATTCCAAGCGCACAATACGTGCGTCGAAGATATAGCATGGGGGCAAAATAAAACGCGAACCTTGTGATCTTGTTCGATGTGTGTTTAGCGTTCTGTTCTGCCTTTCTCTATGAGTGCCTCCTAAGGCATGACGTAATTTTCCGAAATAAACGGGGATGTGTTTCCAAATCTGCTGGTACCACTTGGTGCTGAGCTCATTCGGTCATTAATGCCTCAAATAATTTGCAGCACCTAAGTGCTATTGACAGTTCCTGAGATTTCGGACATTACTTGCGCTTTAATGCGAATACCCACCCATTTTCGAAACCGAAAATTATTCTCGGAATGAAAGACAGGTATTACCGTTTGCACGCAACTATAAGGAATGAACAGTCGGACCAAATTCGAAGAGCTTGAGATTTGATATATTTCTCAGTCCAATCATTTATGTACAGAATAATCAAATTTTCTCCAGTACATGCTTTTCAACCCACCTGTGCTAAGCCAAGTTGGCGAGTGCTGGAATTGATCAAATCCGCCTTTAGTTCCTCACGGATATCGGTCATAGAACGAAATCCTCTTTCTCGTAGACGCACCTAAACGCACAATTTTTGTCTGCGTTTTGGGGAGCTTTAACCGACCGATTCTCTGCCAAGGATATGCTTAACTTCCTTGAACTTGCCATTGCGCACTAGCTCAATAGGTCTTTCAGGGCTTCTGTAAATCACTGTTCATACAACGTTCGAACACAGTGGTTGCAGACCTAATCAAGTAGCATCTGGCACCATTCAGTGCATAGCCCCATTCTTTGGCGTAATCAAGATGGCGTGGAGGAAACCAGAGGAAAATTTGCTCGAAGTCTTCCAAGTATGGAAAAACCTAAGCCAATGTTTTACCGTTAATTACACCTGAGCTGGCTGAAATAACTCACGGCTGGATCTATATGCTCTCCATGAGGGAGGGCATAAGCCAAAGCACCATCCGTTGCTTCATACATAGCGAGAGCATCCCGCTCATTAGTGGTCAGTATGACAGCGCGGTCGGATACTGTCGTCATATGGTAGCCGAACATGCCAAAGAAACGCGCTTTGAGCCTGAAAGCATAAGTCTACTTTGTTGCAAAATTGCCTTGTAATACTGCAACGTGTAATTTCTTTTTTCTAGCATACGTTTCTTTTGCAGCTCATGCATGCTGTGCTATCTCAAATTTCGTGAACTTCAAGAAGGACTGATAGTTTTTACACTATTTTTTCGTCTTTATCGGTCAACCTCCCCTGCTGCCCGAAAATGATACAAAAAGAGCGTTCTTGGAGTGTGGAGTGCGAGCTCCCACATAATACCATGTGACACTCGTTAACGATGTACTACGCCGGAAGTGTGCTAGGTGGTTACTGAGTTTCTGGGTCACAAGTCTGCATGCTATGTAGTTACTCTGTTACTTGAGAACGTGCTAAATGCGAAAAATGAGGAAATGTCATTTACTAAGTCGGACAAAAGTGGCACCAACGGTGCGAAATGGAAAAATGTGCTCAAAAACATTTGCAAAATGTTTATAATGAGAATAATTTTGCGCAGTTCCTTTACCCTATAGTTGCTACTATGTTGTAGGCGAATGAATAGAAAAGTACATTTCCACTGACTTCGTTTCTGTGTGGAGTGGAACAAGGGAGTTCAACGTGAAATCACAAGCAATGCACTTATCATAACGACACCTCCGCCCACTCAACACCTACTTGATTGTCCTTGTTTCACAAAGAGCTAAAATTTAGGAATGTTTACAATTCACGGCATATTGGTAGCAAAAGTAGTCAATAGTAGTCCGACGTTACTAGCAATGGCAGGTAATATAGAAGCGAAAAGTTTGAAAATTCTGCCGTTTTGCCTTAACGTAAAAAAAATCTGATGTACGCGAAGTCTGGGGCAGTGCGAAGGTATTGCGACTGTCGAACTCGTAGAAGCTGGTGACAGGAATACATTCAAAGAACAAAAACATTTGAGGAGTAGCTATCAGAAATTCATCCAAGCAAAATCTGCAAAGCACTTTTTTGTTGGTTCTGTTATATTCGCTCAAATTTCGCCTGTCTGATTTCTAACCATTTCGCACAAGTATCGGAAAACCAATAACTTCGCAGCACTGAACGCAGCGTTCGGTCGCGCGCGTTCGCGTCATTTCCGGATTCGCTTTTACCTGAATTGGGGCATTAGACCTATGGATGTTATCGTAACCACGGTGTCCAGCAAGACTAATGAAAAAGGAGGATAAGCAGAAATTAACATTTTGAAAGCACTTTGTACAAAACATCGTAAGCTATGCATCATAAATTTGTCCCCAGAAAATGAGAAATGGTACAAGTGCTAGGAAACACTACTCACACAGGGTCATCCATGATGGGGTAGTTCTCCTTTTCCAAGCGTTCGCCAACTTTACGTATAACCTTCAGGCCGGCTGGGATACGAATTCGCGAGGCTAGACCGCGATATCTGAAACGATGATGGTTAGGAAGGGCTAAACGCTCAGTTTCCGCAGGATACCTGGGGTAAAGGATAGCAGGCTGGTCGTAACCATCCATATGTGCCCTGACATTGTAACGAGACAGCGTCTCCGTGGAAATCCGCTGGATTGGAAGTTTTCAGAAGAGGTTTTCAGAACAACTCTTTCTCAGTCGAACGAACCTCGATGCCGAGCATCATACGCAATTGCAGCACTTCGTTCTGCTCTATCCCGCCCATCTCGCTCACGTCCACACTTTCATTCCACAGGTACTTGATGTGGGGATCAGGTGGAGCTGGTGGCATCAGGCCAGTTTGGTCGGTGATTCGCGGGGAAGGCGCATCGGAGCTGTAATAATTTCTACAAGCACTGGACAGATCCGAACTTTTGAAAAAATGAGATAAAAGGGAGTTACTGTCGTCTCCTTGAGAATTGCATTCTTCTCCAGTTTGCAAAAGCGTAATCGTAATTAGACATGAGCGCGGCTTATACTCCCGGTTAGTAACGGAAGTAAGCCGTTTTGTGTGAATATATATGGGGGTTGAAATCGTTGAAGCGGGAAAATGCTGCAGTCCGCAAGAAAACCACACTTCAGCACGGTAAGGCTCATAAGAAGATGTATATATGGGATGAAGAGGTGGCCAGTACCTCCTTGTGGAAGTCGCTGAACCTGAGCGGTGCAATGGGTAGCGGTACCACTCCTCCCAATCCAAGCCTGAGTCATCAGCTGGAGAGGAGTCTGGATAGGGAGCAGTTGAAATCACATGCTATCTTGGGGTTTCAGACAGTCATGCAGAAACTAGCCTATATAATCCATTTAAATCGTTGCGCAAGCGCTAAGCTTCCCAAATTGGCGTTTTTTCTGTTAAAATGCCTTCAACCTATAAAAACAGAATTCACACTTTGGGAATCAACAGATTGCTGAAGAATGTCGATAGTGATGGTCCGGCGCCTTATTGTGGCTGGGGAAACAGGGAAAATGGAGTCGCGACTCGTGTGAATAGGCAATTTTCGCCCTAACTGCAACCTACGCTAACAATTGCTTGCGTTCGCAGGCCTTTGGCTGCCTCAAACATCATTTCTTTCCGCCTGCTATGCGTGGATTTTGGCAGAAAGTAGGAATTGTAGGGACATCAAGGGTTATTCCATCATGGAAGCAATATCAACATGTAACCGGCAACAAACTCACATCTCGGTTGGCAACAAGAAAAATAAATTGAGGTGTAGGTCTATTGGCGTCAATATCCCAGCTTGCATTGCTCTCAAGATGCCCAGCTTGTAATGTGCAGGTCAAAAAATTATCATCTGTTTTGCGTTCTCGAGAGCAAATAAGCAAACTTTTGGGACACTCAAGCCGACAAAGTTGCGCATTGAAGCTCTAAACTCAAAGCGATTGGCGATCAACAAAGACAAGAGAGTCCGCGTTCCGGAAGTGGCCACAAAGCCTGCACCTTGCGCTCCCAGTTACCTCAAAGTCTTTCCTTGACGCTCATGAGATCTCATGCAACATCATGATTGAACTTAGGGATTGGAAAAAGTTGTCAAAACATTTCCAGCGAAATGAAGAGCAAATGCTGACTCACTCATCTCGAGTCCGCCTTCCACTTCTCCTGAAGCCGTCGCGATCCTTGCTTTGATTTACGACACTAAGATAATTGACGCGGTCGTATAAATCAGCATCAATCTGAAAGATGGTAAGGAACATTTAGCAAATTGTCGAAACCAATTTGTAATTATTCAGGGTGAGTATCCACTCACGTCGTCTGAACTTTCCATCGAGATGTTAGCGGACTGCTCTGAGAAACCGTTTTGGGGTTTTGTATGTCCTGCCGATACTATCGCTGCGAAAGGTGGTAAATCGAATCTGTAAATGCATTATAAGTGTCCCCTCAAACAGAGCATGGAAAATTTGTTAAGAATGAGGATGCTATAGATGTGGCTAGAGTCTCATCTATGGCGTGATTTGGAGCACGTAGGCCAATCGGATAAGAGTGTATGTTATAAGTCCACAACTATTCTATCTGCTTGGGGAAAAAGCGGAAATAGGCGGAGCTTTGTAGACGGATATCCCCTTGCATCATGCTCCTTCTTCCGCTCGTTGCACCTCCACCTGCATCGTACTGTTCTAAGCAGTAGAACAATCAACTAGAGTAGCGCTTTCTTTGATCGAGCAGTCCTGGGAGCATTTTGAGTAAAAAGTCAGCGGTATATAGTTTGGACTAATTTCATCCATTAATGCTTACAAGATTTAGACATATGTCCGAAAAAAACCCTTAAACTATAGGCTATTCATCACCAAATGTATTGATTCTAAAGAGCGAGACATTGGATGTAATACCATTTTATGCGATTGGCTCTGCGGTGCATCACGCTTTTAATCTACTGTTCAGAACGCGAAAAAGATTGCGCAGTTTACGATCACTTACTTCTTCAAGTATCACTTACCAACTTTTTGATAGCGACCGTTACTACTTGTGCCTGTTCTGCAGTAAATGTATATAAAGCTTTTAGAAGTCAAAAATATTTACTTCAGACATGAAAAGAAGGGAATAGAAGCGCAGCTCCAGGCTACAGTTGGGTTCTCCCCCCAAATTTATATGCTCAAGTGAACATTATGCATAGGGGTCGATAGGTTGTTGTTAGAAAGCGTGAGCAAGCGAGAAGGCTAAAGTCACGCTGGAGAAGCTGACTAGAGCTCAAGCGACTAGCTGACTAGTATCAAATCCATGCATGCAATTTCGTGGTTATGTTTTGAATGGCCTTTGAGTACTTCATGGAAAAAAAATCGTGTTCATCGCAGGATTGCGCACTATCACAAAGAAAAAACGCCAACCTAAGAGCGCAATTTAAACTGAGATAATCTTGTTCCAGCTTGCGACGGAATAAAAAAAGCCACTTTGAGAATTTTACCTTTACGTGACTGCTTCAACTCAGCTTGGCTAAGCAAAGTTTGATTATTAGCAAATTCTGCGTAGATGAAAAATTTATCTTGTCAACTGACTGTCGTTGAATAGTGTGAGCATCATTAATGATGTTAAAATGACATTTTGACAACTGTTCTTTGATAGTCAAAGCTTTACTATCTTCGACTTTTCACACCATTGACAAAAGGATTCGGATTCCTAAGTGACACTATAGAGTTTTTGCAGCTCGTGAATATGAATATGATTTCGTAGTTCATACGTAGCGTTTGACGCATAGCGGACTGTCACATATTAATAGTCGCAGCGATGCCCGAGCATTACAGTCTAAAGTCGATATTTTGCAGAATCTTTTTGAGAGGAAATTGCCAGAATGTGTTCTGCGGAGCGGGTGAGGGTTATGATGAAGTATACTGCACATGATGCCAATGACTTGAAACGCTGTTGCCATATCTACAAAAAATAAACTTTTTACTTCCTGTACTTTATTCGCCTCTGGAAAGAACATATGCTAGGCTGGTGTTAAATTACACACGCTTGACCAAACCGACACTAGAATAGGTTTTCCTCCTCGTATCAAAAACTTTCCCCATCCGAAATACAAAACCAAAAGTGCTTTGAACTGGACGATGCAACGAAATTGAGCATGAGTGCTGCATGGATTGCAAATGGCCAGAAATACGCTCCATCTTAGCCCAGGAAAGGCGCAATTACGGCCAGGTAGCCGTCCGACAAGTTACCACGAGAACACATTGCTGTTGTTGTGAACATGCTCAATCTGGACACTCTACGGCCGTTGTAAATGCGCTAGTAGTAGTGGACTCGAGAAGATAAGAGGGTCTTATTAGTAAGAGGGTCTTCGAATTTGGACCGTAGTTTTCCTCAGGTGATCACTCGATACTCCAATAAGTCACTGAAAGCTGTGAAAGGATTAAAATGTCGTCAATATCTAAAGCACAGGCTGTCATTGATTCTGCTACTTTTTTTTACAAAAAGAATAAATCTCCCTAACCCATGGTAAACAAAGCTATCCCGAGTGTTCCCTTTACTTCACATCCAAAATCTCAGGCAAGTTTAGATTACTTTTGAGCTGTTCTTCATTACTAGATATGTACACATATCCTCCAACATTTTTGAGCTGTTCTTTACTACTAGATATTTACACATATCCTCCAACAACGAAGCAGAGCGTTCAAGGCAGTGATCGACACAAGGTGGCTTTCCCACTTCTTTAGAAACGAAGACCCCTTAGACTTCGCTGCAAATACGATATCCCCCATGATACGCTTATCATTGGATCAAAAATAAACAACATTAAACAAACGATGAAAAGAACAAATGCTGCTCGTCTTCTTCGAATCGGCGGCATGCTGTGTCCTAAGGGCACCACCGCGCACTTGGAGCAGGATTGCCGCCGCCATACAAATTTTTCGGAGGTCTATAACTAAACAAGGATAAGGGGATTTGTGACGGTTTAATAACTAGTTTGTAGGGTTTTGCATCTAAATTAATGCTATGCGAAAAATATGAAAAAAAATTATGTGAGTAGAGGAAAATATATGCTCTGAGCCACCTCAGATGGCTCTCCAGGCGGCTCAAAAACCACCTAACTCCGATAAAAGTTTGTATACCCTTGGTTCACATGACTTTTTCATAATTCTTCGTACATAGTTCTAGCTCCTATTGCGCATTTACACACCAAATTTGGTATAATATTATTTCCTTCTCCTGTAGACAAGCCTTTTGTTTATCTCGAAGCATACTTTTGAATTCCCCCTCTTGCATGGAGAGCATAATCAAGCGGGAAATTATGGGGTTAGTAGCATAGGGGGAACATGGAACTTACTCCCTTCACTTTTGCCCCTTCATCTGGAGCTGAATTGCGAAGTCAAGGAAGAAACATGATCAAAAACCTATTGCAGACTTAACACCTCAGCAGTGGAACTGCTACATCTATGGAAAACAATATTTATGTCAATTACAATATTAATTATGATAGTATCTTTTCCGCACCCTTTTTTGGTGCAGTATAAAAACTGACTAGCTTCAGGAAATAAAATTAATATAAATATAAAGAAAAAAAAAGAACACAAAAGTCAGGAGTTCATTAACTTTTTCTCGAAAATTTCAATGGTTGTTGCATGTTTGTTGCACCTTTCTAACATGTTTTCTTTTGAAGAAAAATTCAGAAACATGTTTTCGAACCTTGAGGCTTTCTCAGGCTTGTCTTGGCTTGTCTTTGAGATAGGTGGCAGATAGACACGCTCACTTGTAAGAGAGGCAATGAATTGAAACCAACTAGTGTGAGTTTTCATCCAGGTAGATGCTAATAAAAACCATAAAAGTCCTGTGCTAAAAACTACACAAAAGCTCAGTGTGAAGTGCAGTGATTACTATAGATAGCAAATGATTACATTAGTAAGATTACGTTCTTCTTACGAGAAGAAGAGGATCAACTACATTTTTTATCAGCCAAAGTAAATTAGTAAATATGTTGGTCAGATCAATCCCTCACATCTTACTGCTAAAAAGGGGTTGAAAAACTTTGACAGACTACTTCGATTTTGGCGGCAATACTTACTATTAGTTTGCTCAACTCCGCCCCTCAATGTATTGCCTTTTATGGGTCACAAGCTGGCAAACCCGGCTCCGCCCGGCCCTGTCAATAATAAATTCGTAATCAGCATGCTCACTTACCCCCCTGTGCCAACTCCCAGCCTTGTAGCTCGAACTCTTTGAAAAATCAACAAAATTGATATCGATCGATGACGAGTAGCCTATGACATCCTCCCGGCCCCGAAGT